CCCAGATGCACCCCCCCACCCCCACCCCGGCTTCCCTCCGCACCCTGCGCTGATTTCAGGGAAGTTTGGCTCTGGAGCCCCCCAGACACAAGGGCAGGGCCTGAGTCTCTAGCTGCTTGGGGGCGTGCTGCGGGGTGTGGGGAGGGTGAACCCACCTTCCTTCTTGCCCTGGGGGACCCAGATATTGAGGTAGAGGCAGTCCTCCTCCCCGTAGGTGTTGTCCTGGGTGATGGTGGCCTGCAGACACCGCTTCTTGAAGTCCTTGGCCTTCAGGGTTCCTGCGGCCGGCCAGCGGGATCGGTAAGGATGGCAGCCACCCCACGGCACCCCCAGGCACGGGGCCTCACCAGCCCCTGCCCGCTCCCACCTTGCCAGCCAGGGTGCCGCTGAGGGTTCTCCAGGGCCTTCGGGGGGGCGGCGAAGGGGATGCCCTTGAAGATGTCGACATAGTCACCAAAGAGGCTGAGCTTCTTGTTGACGCCCTCCACGAAGCCTCCTTCCGTGTACACCGCGCCCAGCTGGGGGTGGAAGCCGAGGCTAAGGAAGGCCCAGGCGGGTCTCCCGAACGGGGCTGGGGGGCAACCTGAGCAGGCCCCAGGGTGCCCTGAGGTTCCCCAGAGACAGCTTCAAGGAGGGGCCAATGTGCACCTGAGCCCTGCCACCTGCCACGTTGCTAGAAGAGCAGCTTACCGCCTTGGTCCCGGACCCCGAGGGTGTCCTGCTCCCTGAATCTTGGAGGAAGCTGGGTCAACCAGTGTGTTCCCACTCCAGGGAGCCTTCCAAGTAGGCCAGGAGAGGTGGGGTAGAGGTTTGGATCTCGGCTATGGCCACCTAGCTGTGACCATGAGGCTGTTTCCCCGTCTCTAAGATGGCCCGTTTGCTCCCCTTGTGTTCCCCTTCCCCCAGGGTCCAGCTGGCCTGGCGTCGGTGGCCTGGTGACTCACAGCCCTTGTGCTCAGTGCTGAGAAAGACCCCCGCCCCCCAGGCCGTCAGAACCACTGCTGTGTAGCTAGCCCTCGCCCTGAACTGGGCCCACGCAGCCAATGCATCCGGTCTGCACGAGGGTCCTGGGGGCTGGTGCTCATCTTCCCATTGTCCCAGAAGGGAACTGAGGCTCTCCTGCTTGAAGTCACCCTGTGGGAAACAGCTGTCTAACCTCAGAGCCAGGCTCCCATCCCCTCCCAGGGCTGCCCCCCAAGCCGTCGGGTCCCATGGCGGGTGTCTGCTTCCTGGATCTCACCTGTGCTCCGTCCCAGGGAGCCAAGGACAGGGGAGCTCCGCACCCCCAGGCCCAGCTGGGGTCCCAGTGCCCTGTAAGGTCTAGGCTAACAGGGAACCGGGGAGGAAGCCAGAACAACTCCTGCCAGGGGCCTCAGGGTTGGGGCCAGGGGCAGGTGCAGCTCTGCTCCCCCACCCCTACCCCCGCCCCATCTCTCGGCTCAGGAGGTGCAGCCTTGTTTCAGGCCTCCAGGCATCTTTTCTTTTTTCAAGATTTATTTATTTGAGAGAGCGAGAATGAGAGAGAGAGAGAGAGAGAGAGAG